ATTTATTTTAATATTTTTATAAAAAAAATATATTATTTATATGTTTTATTTATTTATTTTTTTGTTTCAAAGTAAACCATTGTAAAATTACTTTTCTTAAGTATATAAATATTTTTAAGTATATAATGTATCTTATCTTAACTTGAATATTATTTAATATTATTAGGTTAGTATATATTTTATTAATATTTAAGAGTTTTGTTGAATTATTATTTCTTTTAATTAATATTTGATTAATTTTATTGTCATTAATCTTGAACTTAGAAAAATTAACTTTTAATATTTCTATATTGATTAGAATTATTCAATTTGTTTCAAAATTTAGACTAAAATATTTATACTATTTAATATAGATTTTTATCTATAGTTTTGGATTTATTTTATAGATATAGATATTTTAAACTTTTTCATATTTTTTTAGATGTATTTTTATAATATTTTTGTTAATTTTTTGATTCATGTCTATTAAGTATATTTGAAAGATTGTTTTATCTATGTTTTTTTTTTGTTTTTTAAATAACAAAGTTATATTTTTTGAAAATTGTTTTTGTTAAAAGCAATTTTATTTAAATATCTTAATTAAATATAATTTAATTACAATATTTAATTAATCATTAACAAATTATTAATAAATTTTTGAGATCTTATAGTTAAAGGTTTAATATATTTTTGTAAAATACTTTTTTTTTAATTATAAAATGATATTTATATTATTTTATTATAGTTTTAATGAAATTTTTATTATATAAAATTAATATATGCATTTTATAATTATCAGAATATTATATTTTTAATAAAAAATTAATAATATTTAAAAGTATATTGATAATTTTATTAAAATATAAATAATATTTATTAAATATTTATATAAATATACAATATTTTAATTATTATTCTATTTTTGAAAATTTATAAAAAAATTATTTATTTTAATTTGATTTTAAATTTTTAAGTAATATTGAAATTTAATATTCGTAATTAATTATGAAAGTAATTTTTATAAATTTAATAAAAAAAAAATAATTAAAATAAAATTTATTTGTTATACAATATATAGTAAATACTTTTATAAATATATTTCTTCTAAACTTTTTTAAAAATATTTTATTTCAATTTGGTAAAAAGATTTTTAAACTTAAGTGTTGTCTTAAAAAAGTAATAAGATATTTAACTTTAATAAGGTATTATTACTATTAACTATTTTTTTCCTAAGAAAAAAATAGTTCCTAAAAAAAAACATTTGAATAGCATAGAATACAGTATATACGGTATATACGGTATACAGTATATTAATATAGGTAATTAATAATATAATATTATTTTTGAAATAATAAATTCAACTTTCATGTGTACATTGTAACATCTAAAGTTTTCAACCTCAAAGTTCGCGAACCAATTGGTTACTGTTTTTCATATATGGCTATTTATCGTGCAATTACAGTATATAGATTATACAAATTACATTACTTGTATTACATTAAAATCCAAATATTATGGGAATGCAGTTTACGATGATGATGGTGTTGGTGCGAATATGGTTGCGATTACGTTTTTTTAGATGCCAACCACTGCAGAAAAAAAAATTTAATGGTAACGAACGAACCAAACATCAACAATAGAAAGCTTAGTATACCAATTTTTTTCTTTTCATTCTTGTAGATCGAAAGTTAAAATTTGTCACATTGCATCACTGGGCGTACTCATGTTAGTAATGAGGTGGCACGTAGACGCATCTTGTGCGTGTGTCATGCAGAAAACGAAACTCACCGTTAAAATACAACTTTGTTATTATTAACCTCACCTCATTGTTTTTAAAGTTTAAATCATTTTTTTAGGGATTTCCTTAGCGCTGCATATCCGACAGACTGAACATGCAGCCGTAAAAAAATAAAAAAAGAAAAAGAAAAAAAAGGAACACACTCGGTGTTCTCTTTGCAAAGGGCGAAATCAATCGCCACACCGTGTCGGATGTATCGGTACATGGACCCTGCTTTTCATTCAACTCTGTTATCAGAGACATCTGAGACGTAGGGGGGCTGTACTATGAGGTTTTTGCTGACAACGCACATGAGAAGATTGTATCACGTAGATGAGGTCAATCAAATAACGCGTGCCATGAAGTTATCACGAGAAAATATTCACATAAGCATATATTAACACCAGCCGCAGTGGATTAAATTTTATTAGTGAAATTTGCCATTATTTCCTTAACAATTCAATTGATCGTCTTCACATCAATTATGTTATCAAATATGTGTCTCTTCCGCTATTTCCGAACGCTCTCATTGTAACAATATAATTAAAATTAAAATAGCCATGCCAAATGTAGGTCCATTAAATCCTACGCGCGTATGTATATGTGCGTGCGTGCGTATAGTTAGGTAGGTTGGGTACGTTCACGTACTCATGTAAGTATTCCTTTTTTTCTTGTTTATTTTTATTTACCTCACCTTACTTTATTTCTATGACTCATAACAAAAAAATTTTTTTTTTTTTTTTTTCAAGGAAAAGATTGGGGTCAGGATGAGGTTCCCTCGGGTTGTGCATTTTCCATTTTTCCATCAAACTTTCATTTTTCTTATACTTTTTAATTTAGCCATTTTTCGAGGATTCGTGTCACAAAGAAAATTTCCTTTATTCGTAATTTCATTCTGGCTTCATTACATATTAATAAATTTGTATTAAATAAAATACCGCACATAATAGAATAAGCCTCTCAACGAACCATCCAAATCATATGTTAAGAATGGAAAAAAACTATCAACGTTTTCTTTGAGATCAGCGATTTACCTTCACCCTTTATTTTCATTCTTCTACCAACAAATAAAATCGATTGCGTGTGAACTTCTTCCCCTTTAGAATGTGATATCATATTTCAAACGAGCGGGAAGAATTTTTTAAATCTTCCAATGGCCACCATCAGCATAAAAAAAAAAAAAAAAGAAAAGAAAGCGCTAATTGCAGTTTGTTATTTATGCACACCTGAGCAAAAAAAAAAAAAATTGTTCCACTCTAATCCGTTGCACAGTCTATCAGTCCGTTGATAATAAATAATCTAATTTTAACGGGTTATCAGTTAAAAAAAATCTGTGGTGTAATATAAATCATTTATCATTTATTGCAGATTGAGATTGTGATAAACCTAAAAAAAAATTTTCTTTTCATTTGCACGACACCACGTAACGAATATAATGACCGCAGTTGAATGTAACAATGGGTAATAACATTTTTTTGGCACATAATCCAAAGTCACAATGCGAAAGCGGGTTGTTCGAGTTCGGGCGCTATCTGCATTATGTCGTTGGCCGCAGTAAAGTTCAATCGACGCGCATTCATCCTCTCTCTTCGTTGGATTACATCTCGTCGTGCATATTAATTCCTGAATTCCTTCAATTACGGGTGAAGAAAATCTAACCAATGTTGGATGGAGTTCGCAAGATCACTTTGAAAACGCGAATGCCGGTTAGGCGACCATTCTCCACCTCACCTCTCTACCTCAATCTCATGTCATTACCAAAACTGCATCGCCACGGAAAACTGATCAAACAAATAGCGTGCGTTCACTGCCACTCTATCATTGAAAATCCTCTTTTGCACCACCCTTCTCATACAGCTCACACCCTTCAATTGTAGCTGATTGAATGAGCCACCTTGTGCGCTAATTTAATTCATTCCGCTATTTCTCACACAACACCGCCTCACCGCGAGTGGTCCCTTCCCCATTTTAATTAGTCCCCCGAATAAATTACCTTTTCCATACTCAATATACAAACTTTCGTAATACGTAACATCATTTCTCATATTTAGTACTGTATATTTATTTATTTATCTCATTTTTTTTTTTTGCGTGCGTTCGGTTACGTAATGACGTATTGTGCAACCGAGGGAATAGATTTTAGAAGGTCAAAATTTCTTTCGAATTCTGAAATGCGTGTCGGCAATAGACACCCACCCAAATTATTGTTCTCTTCACTCTTTTCCACTGTATATTATTAATTTGCATTGCCACAAGACATTTTTAAAGGTCAAACAGACAAATAGTGTAATATATATATATATATTTGAGTTCACTGCCACTCCCTTTAATTATATACTGTATGTATATATAATTTTTTTTTTCTTTTGAAAATCTCAACACTGCCCCCTTCATTTTAATCCGACTTCCTTTGCCCTTCCCAACTTTTTTTTTTTTTTTTTTTTTTTTTTTTACTGTACCAACATTTTTCTCTTGTGGGAGATTTATCCCCAAAAAGTCCCAAAGGGGTACCTCTCATTTCCTGCACTTTCCGATCCTTTCATCGTTCTATCAGATTTGTGTTTATTGTATAATATCCTTTTCATTCTATACTATATATGTAATTTTACACTAGCATTTATGTTTATTATTAAAAAAAATATATATATATACATATGTGCACCTGTACACTACAATAGTAGGACGTTTTCCATTGGCTACGATACTTTTCAGCGTCAATATTGACCCTAAATAAATAAACAGGGCTCTTCCACACTGGCTTTTTACCGGCTGCAATTTTTTCAATCGGGGAAAACACACGAAGTGTTTTACTCTCTTGAATTCCTTGCTCTTTTTTTACGTCTCCCGCACCGACCGCTTTTTTAACCGTGCGAGGTTTTGCCTTCCGTCTAGTCTTGTATTTATTATTCTTCCGTCTTGCTGGTCTCTCCGCTGCCAACAACTGCTAATAAACTGTCTACGACGACGTAAAAAAATTTAACGCAGAGCAGCCTCTCAGAAAAAAAAAAAAAAAAAAAAAAAAATTTTTTTAAGAACACACTTTTATTTTCGAATCTTGTCTAATAGACTTGATTGATTTTTTTACGATTTTACGATATAAAAACTATTGGTTTGTTCTCAGGCCATAAAGGAAAAAAAAAATTTTTTTTTAATTTTTATTTATCTTGCAACGAATTTTTTTTTTTTTTAAAAAAAAAAAAAAAAAAAAAAAAAAACACAAAGCACTATCATAATTCCTCGCAATATGCCTTATGCTCCAGACAACAGGTAACTTGTTTTCTTCACGCCGTTCGTCAAATGTCCGTTTGTTTTTGTTTGTCGCAATACTGCGTCGAATCCTCATGTCTAAAAATCTTTGTCAAAATTTTTATCTTTCTGTCACGTTCTTACACTGTGTGCGTTGGTTCCCTTGGTGCAATAGTAACATCATGCTACCAGTAGCACCACATATGCACTCAAATTATGGCGGTTTTCATCAACACTTTGGCACTGCAGGAGGATATCCGCCTCACGCGTAAGTGATATGCTTCGAAACGACTTTCTTTTTCTTTCCTCATAGCATACCTACAGACAAAAGAATTTTTTCCTTGCCCCTTCCCACACTCTGGTGTGTATCTAGTATCAGATATCATCCAGAATTGTTTTCTCCGACAACATTGTTAGTACCTTTTAAAAAAATTTCAGCGACCAAATCTTCCGATATATTGTCATCTTTGATTAATATACATGTTTCAAAACCTTCCAACCACAACAGTCCTCCGCCGCCTCCACCAACCTACAAGTCAGAAATCCACGAATCTCACCCCAATCCACCCCTGATGAATCACAATCAATTGACAACGCTTCCCTCCGTAAGTCCTGTTCCCGTGTCATCGCAACCGTCTCTTAGTCCAATTACTTCGCTCAATGGTGGAAACAACGGTAATGACTATCACATGTCGCATCATATGCAACACCATCAGAGTAACACTCCTAGTGCTACGTACCATCACTCTCCTCCTCTCGAGCATGCTCAACAACCAAACCAAGATGTATCAAGCTATAGTAGCAGTGTTACTTCTGTGAGCATGCCATCTCCACCGGCCAGCATCCCTTCTAGTTCCTCGTGCGTATACGCTTTTTTCTTCAAAGTTTGATAAATTTTCGATTCTCGATTTTCGATTTCTTGATGCGCATTCCTCCCTTAGTAACTTGCGATACGAGGTGGTCCTCGAGGCACCTACTGCGGCAGCCCAACGTATCGACGAGACACCAATGACCTATCTTAACAAAGGTACATTGATTGCTGATTTGATTATTACCGTAATGGTTTCGAATAATTCCTAATTCCAATTGGATTGTAGGCCAATATTATGGAATAATCTTACAGGATCAAGAGAGATTTGACGGAGAATTGACAAGCATTGTCAAAGTTATGTTCCACGACGATGCTCACCGCAAGATGGCATCAACCTACTGGAGCTTTTGGTTAACACAGCAAGCATCTCCCAAGACCGCTCGAGCTATTGACATTGGTAGGTTTCATGATCAACCGACTATTATTCAATTTCTCGCGCGACGGATTCTTTTTTCTTTTAATTTACTCGTGACGATTCACTACTCTTAGATAAGGCCGCGTCAACTGGAATTAATAGTGTGGAAACGAAGACCTTTGATCGCGTGCAATTTCGATGGCATGGAAAGAAAGGAGCCAAGATCTTTATTCGTTTCAATTGCCTTTCAACCGACTTTTCAAGGATAAAGGGCGTGAAGGGCATTCCTCTGAGAATCCATGTCGAAACCAAATATGAAAATGGCACGACAAGTACCAATGTCGAGAAATCATTTGCAAAGGTCAAATTGTTCAGAGACAAGGTAGTTATCGAACATACCATGCTTATCTATGCACCTGGATTTCTTTCTTCCTATTTAATCAATCACCTTTAAAAAAAAAAAAAAACCAAGGGAGCTGAGCGTAAAAACAAAGATGATCAAAAACATTTGGAAAAGATGGTTGAGAAGATGAGAGGTATGAATACTTTTGATAGTTCGAAAATCCTTTCTGGAGCTATCGTTAAACAAGCGCCCCCTCTTTTTTTTTTTTTAAAAAAAAAAAGGTAAATCACAAGAACCCACGTCACCCATGATCATGATGTATGCCCCACCCAACCCTGTGACCATATTTACTGAAATCACGGGTAATAACGACGCCTCCGATGACGAGGAAGTTCAGAGCCTTTCCGAGACCTTAAATAACCTCGATCCAGAGGTGGAAGGTGGAGATTTAATGACACTCCAATTAGGCAAGCGTAGGAGATTTTCGATGGGTCCCGAGTTTTTGGAACCTCTCGATTGCGATCCGACGTACATCCCTCATTTACGGAAGCGTCGTTCAGGTATATACACGCACATTAACTTCCCCCTTCTCCTCATTCGTGATCGGAGGCTCATATTAATCGAACTTGTTCGTTAGTTCTATGCATCTACGTCAAGTTACCAGGTGAATCCGCGTATCGTGCCGTTTACCTTAACCACCTTACCGTCCAAGATCTCATATCCAAGCTTACCGATAAGCTCTCCGAAAAAATTGATCTACAGGGACAAACCATCAACAACATCATGAGATACACCAAAAAGGGTATAAGCGTTCGTTTTGACGACGAATCCGTTCATCAAATTGACGATGAACAGGATATGGAGGTCGAAGTTCATGGTGGACAAGACGGAACGTTGAGTTTGACATTGAAATACTAAAAATACCATTAGGATTCTGTTGATGGTTTGTGAAGAAACTGCTAATTGATAAATTTTTATAATGAATTGTTTCCAGACTTTTGAGATTTTTTTTTTTTTTTTTTTTTTAAAAAAAAATTCAATTCAATTCAGTTCAGTTCAAAAAAAAAAAAAAGAAAAGAAAAAAAAATTGAATTTGCTTTTTATATTTAATCCCTCATAAAGGGGGTGACGGGGAGAAAAATTTCTTTTCCTTTTTATAAATATTTATTTATTTTTCTCCCTCCTGTACAAAATATTTTCACATGTTTTATATATTTTTTACATTTTTCTCTTCTTGCATTTTTTGCATTCTTGTAACATTTCATTACCATTCCCTTTCGACATTGTAACATTTCCTTTTTTTTTTTTTTTTTTTTTTTTTTTTTTTACCATTTCCTTTTTATCTTTCGGTATCAAAAATGTGATCATTCTGGGTCGGGATTGGTTGAAAATATTGTTATCACTTTCCTGTATAGGGTAAAAAAAAAAAAAAAAAAAAAAAAAAAAAAAAAAAAAAAAAAAAAAAAAAAAAAAAAAAAAAAAAAAAAAAAAAA